AAATACATACCATGTAACACAGTTTATTGTACTCCTAGTGTACCTACAGTAAATAGAAACCAATGTGTTTCATTCAGCCCCTGTATTTTGACACTCACATCAGATTTAGCAATTTGTCTTCATTACAACCCCTTGCACTGTTACTGCCATCCTTCTCAGAGCTGTGCTCAAGCTTCGCAGCAGGAAGATTGATGAAGCTTGTGTATACTGATTTGTGACAAAAGCAGGGCACTTGAGAGGCACTGTTACCATTCTGATAGCACTAAGAGGGCTAAAAATTAACTGCACTAAGCCAATACTCTGCTCCCACTTCTCCTCCTCCTCCTCAATTAGGGTACATGGCTTGGACCTTGAAAGGCTAAGGCTGCTGCAACACTATTTTTAAACCTATTGCCTTCACTTGCTTTGTCACTTATGAAGAGATTTAAAGTTCTGACCATGCTTATTTAACAGCTACTTTTATTCTTTAGAGACAGTTAGAATAGACAGGTTTTTCACTGTGACAAATGTTAAAAGATATTTTCTGAATGAATCTACAGTGGTAAATTTAAACAGCTGTTTTAGTGTTTTGGACAAACAGATACTATGGATACAATTTTCAAAACTGGCTAAATGTCTGAAGAGCCCACAGCACATGTGCTCATCAGGGAGAGACTAAACAGCCTCAGTACTTTAAAAGCACCAACTTATTGTATACGACTATCAAGAGGATGGAGAGGTCACCTCTCCCGACAGACAATTCATCCCTTCAATCATGAAGTTTCAAAGAGTGTTGCTAGAATTGCACACTGAAGCCTCTAACTCCTCTGGCTCATTCTTTTGCTAAACACAGGTCTTGACACAGCAATTCCCAACAAGCTGAACTGCTCAGTGGTGGCTGCATTTTGCAGAGGCTTTCTGTGTTAGAGCATGAGTAACAAAGCCTCTGCAACAGAGTGTTTAGGAAGTGCTCAGGGCGAGAACACGTGCTCAGATCCACTTTCTGGGCTGAATGCACAAGTCAATGAACTGCAGCCTGGATTCAACGATCCTCCCCCACCAAGTTGCCCATGTACACTGGAAAGCAGACCAGGAACTATTCATGTTCTGGGCATCTCAGAATAAGCTCACACCATGCAAGGGTGCAGATCCTGCATGAAATGGTTTAATTTTTATGCTTATTATGGGACCTCCACCACTCCCACAGCTGTTTAAATAAAATCACATAGCAAAATCAGTAGAGTTTGTAAAACTGTCAGCCAGCATTAGGAGGCATCTACAGAAACTATCATCGGAAAAAGAAATTACAGACTGTTTTTGTGAGGGTTTTTACTCCATAGCTCAAACTCCACTAACATTCTCCACTTCTAGCTTCTTCTTTTTAGTAAATTAGCATAATATGAGAAGAGAATATGAAGTGTTAACATCGAAATTATTACAAGACAAGACAAGTCTTGAAGAAGGAGGAAGTAAAAGAAGGAAAGAAGAGGATGATGTATTCAATTATTGAAGGAGAATAATTTGCACCTCTCTTGGAAATACCACTATTCTCATTCACTTGCAAAACTCTCAGGATTACCTTTCCTCTTTCAGATTATTACTTAAATACTTCATCCTAGCTACAAAATATTTGAGAAAGTCTGTGAAATAGAACAAATGCTTTTGTCTTGCTTCATGTGAGAAAGTAATGTAATCAGGTGGTCATTTTCCTCCCGTTTCAGGCAGAACCACTGCATTAATAAGAATCCACTAAAGCAAGAGACCATCCTGTATAAAATCCAGCGACATCCAATTTAAACCTTAGCAGCAAAATTCCACCTGATAACAAGCACTGAATACAAGTTGCAGCTTTGCAAGGCATTATAAATGTGTCAGAAAAAATTAAGCCCTCACATTTGGAGCTTAAAAAAAAAAAATGACAATGCCACAATCGATGAAAAACCTAGGAGAAACAGTTCTTTTTTTATTTCCTCCTTCCAAAACAAACAAACAAACAAGCAGTACCCAAAAATATCACCAAAGCAAATAGAAAATCTCAGTGAAAAGAGAATATAAATATAAATGTAAAGAGAAGTCAATTTCTGACTTCTTCAAGCACCTTTTGGATCAGGGTCTAGACATGTTTCTGCACTCGCTTTGGAACATACTCCTTGGTAAGTGTAAGTCCCGTGTCAGCAGCCTGAGGTACCATTAAAAAATTCCATGTGGACACAGGTCCATACATCTAAACAAGACCATTAAAGGAGGAATGAAGAAGAAATGCATATCTTACCTCAATACTTACTTTGCAACAGAATTCTCATGCAACTTACCAGGAAAGTCACTTAGATTCACCTTTCCTAAGCATGGAAGCTTTAAAAATACACATCCAGTCCTTGCTGATAATTCATGTTTCCTCTGGTATAGACAGGGACAGGCAACTCCAGAAGAACAACTGTAAGCCATCACAAGAGGTGGCCTGGCACTACACACAGCTACAGTGACTAACATCTGCTATCTTACATCACTTCATTTTCCTAACAGCTTTGGTGAAAGAAGTGGAAATACTGTTAATAATGAAATTTTCTAAGTAAATACTGGCAGGTACTTACAGGGTATAGTGTCTCTGTCAAAGGCAGGCTTATTATAAATAATTAAAAAGTTGTATCCAGGAAAGGTCTGTCAGTGGCTCACACAGACACTGGGCAAAGGGAGCAAGGGTTGCTAGGTCAAGTACTAATCAGAGCCTTTCAAAGGCAGCCAAGTTTGCACTCCTTTACACCAGACAGACTCCTGGAAGAAGGGTATGAAACAGAGCCGGAAGGGAAACACTGTACTACTGGGAAACCACGGCTGTCTTGGCAATTAAGGCCTCCCCAGGGGGTTAATTACACAGAGACAGACAGGCATTTTAGAAAACGTTTCTCAGTTTGCCACAAGAACAAGCACAGCTTGACCAGCCTGGCTCTGGATCCCAGCCTATGCGCGGATGTGCGGCAGGAACGCGCCTCCCGGGAGCCAGCGATGGGCAAGGTTTCAGCAGCAGCTCAAAGGGGCAATTTGACCACCGGGGCTGTGTCTCCACCAGAATCCAATTCCCCTTCCACTCATTGTTCCCAGGTGGGCTTTACAATGTGGTGATATCTGCACTTCTGCAGGACAGCCTGCTCCTTTCTTTCCCTTCTCCGTAGCCTGCCCTCCACTCCCCATTCACAAGCCTTGGGGCAGTGTAAGACACAAATTTCCCTCTACTGCATCTTCAGCCCCTAAACTCTTGAAGATTGCTATTTTTTCAAGCAACACGCAATACAGGGGAAAGAACAGATTAACTTATATTGATGACTAAATCTAAATTCCTGTAAGTAATTTGTTTTCTTTTTGCTATTAATAGTAGCACTTCCCCATCTGTTTGGGAATCCTTTGGAAAATGCGTATTTGGCATGTTTCACTGAGATCTCTGAGGCAGACACATAAATCACAGAATTACAGAACTATGGAAGCACAGAATGGGTGATGTTGGAAGGGACCTGTGGAGCTCATCTAGTCCAACCCCTGCTCAAGTAGGTTCACCTACAGCTGTGTAGGATCACAGCCAGGCAGGTTTTGAGTATCTCCAGACAGACACACTCCACAATCTCTCTGTGCAACCTGCTCTAGTGCTCTGTCATCCCTCACATAAAAGAGGTTTTTTCCTCATATGCAGATGGAACTTCCTGTGTTTCATTTTGTGCTAGCCTGCTGTCCACCAGGATTACCTGGTCCTTCCCTGCAAAGCAAAGGAGATTTACAGACCCAAGATTCTCCTCAACAGACACATTTCAAAATCAATGCCCCTTCCATTCCATTTGTGATCTTCTCTGACAGCATAAACCGGAAAGCTTGAAGTTGTTGGAATACATGATTACTTTACCAATTTTACAACTTAAATCCTAAAAAGGGAAAAATCCTTGTATTTCCCTCCGTTTATTTATGACCTGGAACATGTAAGACTCTACAGTGAATTAACAATAAAAAATGCCAACCCAAACCTGCATATAGTAATAATCAACCCTTCTCTCCTGTGTTCTGCACCGACCAAAATAATTTGTGATTTCAAGCAAATAAAAAACCTAATGAATATTCTAATATATATTTTACTACATTTTGCTGTCTGATAGTGCTTGCATTGGGAGCTGTTGTGTCCAGATGTTTTTTTAGCTTGTATGGATTTGAAGAGCATTTCCTAAAATACATGGTAGGGATGATTGATTATGTGGGACAATATGGTTCTTTTTACTTGTACCAACAGGAAACAAGAATTCCTTAATCCACAAATAGATAAAAGAACACAGTCAAGGAACTTTTACCCAAAGGAAAAAAAAAACCCACAGCATGGTGTACAGCAATGTGAAAGAAAACACATGTGGCAAAACCAGTAGTTTGCAAGTATATCACTTCATATCCAACACATGTGAGCTCCTTATAAAGGGAAACATTCATCACAAGGGCCAATGGAATGGTTTAGATGCTCTTTTCTGGAAGGCAATTTTTAACTTGAAAATTGTTGTTAACAGTCCCAGTATGCAAAAGCTAAAAAAAACCCAAAATCATTCATTCTGAAAATGCAGTGAATGTTAAAAAGTTCAAAATTTTCTTTAATCCAAATCAGTTTGCACATTAGATCCAAGATGCAAAATTTAAACCAGTTTAATCTGAGAGTGAAAATTTTGGGAGGATTGGGGTCATTCCAGATATTTTTAAAAAATATTTTGCTCTGGATATTCTAAATTTCTGTCACAAACAATTTAAGAGCTACAATAAAAGACTTAACTGAAGTAGGTTAGAGGTGGAAAACAAGTGTTCAGTTTTTGTTCAATTTTTTCCTGTGCCTGCAAATTGCAAAATGTTTTATTTCTTTTGTATAATCAGGCAATTCCCAGCTTTGTGTGAGTCTCTTGTAAATGAAGAGAAAGGAGAATACCACTCTCCTGGATCAGGAGGAAATTATTTTAAACTACAAAAATCAGCTAAGCTCTTAACATATATTTTCCACTTAAACTTACCTCTAAAAAATGTTCTGCTTGCTGCTCCCGATCCAATTTTCTTGATGTTGTGGTAATCAGACCTGTGAAAAAAGGATTATATTTGATTGTCAGTACCCATTGGAAAATATGTATCTTTTTCAACCTGAATAAAAATTAATTTTTAAAACAACACTCAAAGGGAAAACAATCTGCTTGAAGCCATATCAGACACAGATCTCTTGACATTTGTCAAGCATTTTATTTCTTAGTCCAACCATTATCGCTTTCTGACCAGCAATGAATCTTGAAAGAAAAATGCTGTGAGGAAAGTAACTGAGAAACAGTTAACTGTATGTCTATAGTTAACACACTACATTTATTACAGTGAATAAAAAAAAACTCACTAAAGAATCACTATTTGTCTTATGATTAAGAGTTTCAATGAATCATTTGCATTTGACTGAAATTCTTCTGCAAAAAACCTCATTAAAGATTTCAGAGTTCTCAAACAATTAATGGGATAGGATGCTGATTACTTCCACACCAAGAATACTTGACAAAGAAGGTTATTTCTGTAATAACTACTTGTATACATAATGATTTCCAAATGTAATAATTCCAATGCATTAAAGGTTTTGTACTATAATTTCATCAATTTGTTCCATGCTCAAATTGAGTCTTTAACATAAAGTACCTTTTTACGTGAGGATGATTGAGATACCTTTTTTTAAAAGCAATGTACTTCCATGAATGATTAAACTCTTGTGAGATTTATACCACAGGAAAAAAAGGAAACACTTCCAAAGTTCCCTCAAGAAAAGTGATGCATACCTTCTAGGAACATAGCCTGGTTTTTTATTTAGTTCTTAATGGAGATTTAAAGGGCAGATTTGGGTTTTCCCTCATACAAAACATTTCTTTGGATAGGAAAATGCATTATGTGGTTGTTTTTTGATAGACCAACTTTTCCTAGAGAAAAAGCTGATTTTGGAGACAGTGCTAGTGGGCCAAGCTGTTTGTCATCTTTAGTATTACCAAGGGAAACAAGAAAATAAATTCTTTCTGGATTAACTATTCTACTTATTGAATTAATCAGACTAGCCAAGCATCTAAACACAAATCCATGATGACCCTGAATTCTTAAAATACCCCATCAGCAACATCTACATAAGACTTCTAGCCCTAGAAGGCTTCTACAGCTACAGCTCCTCATATGCTATCACCTTCTCCTTGGAGGAATCCGTTTACCCACTTTGGTGAGAAGGGGAGAAATATTAGTTGAAGTGATGAGATGAATTGCACAAAGGGAAGTGCGCTCTGCTTCCAGGATTTCAGACTTGTTACAAGATACATCAGACCACAGAAGTGACACCCAAGGGGAGGCCACAGAAATTAAGAGTGGATCATTACGATTACATGGAAGAAGCTGGTCCTGGCAAAAAGCTAAAAAAAACAAACCTGGTATTGCCTGCATCAAGCAGTTGTAAGTATTCAAAACTGTTACACCATATGGGAGACATCCATCTACTCACTGCATGAGTTTGAACAGAAATGACAGCACAGATGATAAACTGGTGTCATTCACACAGGATCCCCCCCCTGTATGAAAAGAACTCAAAGATACAGGCAAGAAATTACTAATTATGGAAGAAGTGCAGCCCAAATAAATTGATAAAAAGTAAAGATTTCAAATTTTATAAAGATTCATCATACGCACGGCCACTATGGATATTTATCAAGGACAACCTAATCACATTAAGCAATATAATAATTTTTATATTATCTTCCACTTCCTTTATTCCTAATGTGCTATTGTGGACTCTACCTACTTTCTTCTTAAACAAGAGCTCTCTGGCTGTAAATTATGGAAGGTCTCTGTTCTCATCATCTTCTTCACGCAGAGAGATTCAGATTCCTTTTGAAGACCAAGAGCTAACATTTAAAACTTAATATCATGAACTCTTAGAATGAACAGTACTTGCCTTTCATTGGTAAAACTAAAACTACTACTACTGCTCCTCCTCACAAAATTACTGTTATCACAAAGGAAGTTTTTTGTTTTCCTTTGTTTAATGTAGAGCCTTTTTGACTGCAATAATTGTAAGAGTACCTTAAGATCTGAATTTTCTTCTAAAAGAGATGTATGAACACATAGCAAGTCTCTACAACACAACTGCCAGTATTTAAAATGTAGCAGGTCTCAGGAGATTTATCACTCAGATTTAACAGCTGATGCTAAAGGGGGCAGGTAGCAGACCATCACCATCAGTTTGGCAGACCTGATCGTGAAGTAAGTTGATTGCAAACCATCACAACTGCTTGTTTTTGCTTTAAAGACAGCATACAACACCCATTCTGGGTAGTTTTGTCAGGTGATTAAATTAGTATGTAGAAGTAACTGTTCCTACGTGCGTGAAGTCTTGAGGCTTTTATTATCCTCTCCTGTTCTCTGTCCCTCCTGACACCCATGATGGCCCCACTGCAGTATCCTGGCTGCTCACTGTCACATCCATTCCTACCTCAGGGACAGATCATGCTGTCTGACCCTACTGCTCAAAATATAATATACACATAAAATCAAGTCTCAGTTACTTGATATTAATAGTTATTGAATTATTGTAATGTATTGGTAGGGATATGAGTATGGTTCTTTCAGGTTACAAAACTATTTCAAGAAATTATGAAGAGTAACCATCAGAACAGAAAAAATAAAAATGCCAGTTATGTCTAAGACTACCCACAGATTTACCAGATCAGTCTCAAAGAAATTAATTTCCTGGGTTTTATGAAAACCTTACTGTGTTCCTCCCTCCTGTGTTTACTACTCCATGTCACAGATACATAATAATAGCAATATTTAGTAGGATGTAGAACTTTATTTTTCCAGACACTGGGGCAACTGAGAAAAACTTGACTTTGCACAAGGGACCATGTCCCAGGTTTAGTTCTTATCTAAGTGTATTAAATTGTCATACTCAGTTACGGTGTAAAGGCATTATCTAAAGAAAATAACTCACAGAGAAAAATAAACCCCAGGAAATTATGTCAGGCTGCACTCCTGGCTATGAGAAAATCACAAGAGGACAGTGATAAAAAATGACCCTTCCTTTTTTGCCTTTCTTCAGTACGTGCTGTAGCTCTTATGGACACAGCCATATGGACAACTCTCCAAAGCCAGCTGGGAAATACGGCACACGTTTATCAAAAATTAGTCAAAACCACTAACAAGCTTCAGAAGCTGTTGTACACTTCTCAAATAGTTTCTCTCAAATTTACAGGGAAACATCATGGTCCTGCTAAGGGCAGGAGATATTTGTAACTGTGATCTTTAAGAACATCCAGAAAAGTGAAGAGGAAAATTTTATTCAATGGACAAATTATCTACAGTAAAACCACTTGGTTACAAACAAGGTTATGCCATGCTGCTCACAGAATTTCATACTTTTCTTTGATTTTTTGAGTTAAAGCATCTTTCTCTTCATCCTGACACATCTGTTCCTCAGACCACATGAGTTGTTTTGTGAAACTCCAAAACACTGTTTGACCAAATATTTTAGCTTTGAGATAACTCGCTACGTAAGACCTTGGAGGTCTTATACAACCTGCCTTTCTATGACACCTAACACTTATGCTGTTGGAGTATTTTTTCCCATCTTAACCAATGAATAATTATTATTCTGCTCCTGTTACAGAGTTTGAGAATGCTGGAAGGTGAACATGCTCACTCTACACAATATGTCCCATAATACTGCAGGACACAGTCACAAGTCCCAGCTGACACTGACAGAGGAACATCCTATCAAAACCCCACTGAACACTGGATAAGATCATGCCAGATCATTCCCCTGTAAAAGGAAATCTATCATGTAGATGGAGAAGAAATGGCAATGTTCCCATCCCATCACTTTATGATGTTGATGGGGCAACCAGAGACGTAGGGTGGGTTACAAGACAGACCTGCCTTAGTGCTTAGATGCAGGCTTAGTGACACAGAAGAAAGAACAGGACCAACACAAAGAAATCCTGACAATTTAGCCAATACATCAGCCTATACAAACTTCAGCCGATGCATCATCTTACAAAATACCCACACATTATAATGGCTCAGATGTGTGATCGAGACATTTGAGCAACACTTAGCATTGATGCTTGGGATAATGTTTTTAGCATACTGAGATGTGATAAAGAAGGGAAAACTTCAGTTAAAGATCAAAACCCACCTGAGATACTTTGCACTTGCAGATAGTGAAGCCTGCAGTTACTACAGTGCAAATGGAGAAATAAAACTAATAGGCAAACAGGAGCTTGGTGATAGGTCTGATGTCATACGAGTAATGCCAGGCATGTGTGTGGGTGAATGCACATGTGTGTCTGTATGAACCTGACATAAAATCTGTGATAGTTACAAATTCAACAGCATGACTAATGCTTCATAATTTTTTTAAGTTTTTTTTTTTTTTACTTAGAATTTGATCATGATCAAAGTGAAGGATTTAATCCATGCTCTGCCTTCAGTTAGCTCTCATTTGACAGAAGGGTGCTCACAGAAATAAAACCTCTGTGTGCCTGTGTGTGCTGAAGTAGACAGACAGTGCTATACAAATACTTACATATATTCTGTATGTACAGTCAAATATTAGACTATGTATATGCGTGTGTGTGACATTTTGCATCTACCCCGTAAGTTGAATATTAAAAGTTATCCTAAAATGCACATATTTACAGAGGTGTATTTAGCTCTAAGGTTTACTGATGTTCATTCTTTTCATATATATGCATTACTTGAAGTATTTCTGTTGTAAACAAAGGACTTAATTAATTCAAATTTCTTCTGTGGACTTAGCCACAGAAGAAAAATTCATAAAGGGCTGTTGAATGCAAAGGCTGTGGCAGCGGAAATCTTAAAGCACTGGAGAGTTTGAACAGTATTACACAGAGGGAAGCACTGCTCTGGGTTTGCTTTTTCTGATGCTTATTCCCTACACATCCAGAACAGCCCACAGCTCTAGGTGTGATAGTAACTGAACTGACCCTTGACTCAGAAGAAATTCACATATTTTTCAGTACTGTGGCACTTAGGGACCAAAAATTAGTTTGCCAC